TGTAGCGCCTCTAGTTGTCGTAGCAAGAAAATATTGACAGCGTTTTGATCCAGAAGGATTGTTTATTTAGTAGTGAAAATTTCATCAAGATTTATGAATCTATATATATTACCCAACTAACAATGTTAGCTGCAGATAAGCTTATACAGCCAAAATTTGCCTTATGTAGCTAATTTTTGCTTGTATAAGCTGGGCGGCAGCTAAAATTGTTGGTTGGGTACATATACTTGTTCAAAAGTTATCGAAGATGGAACGTGACAGATGTGAAATAATTCTGCACACTCACGTGCAAAATTCAAGTGGTCAGGAGGAATGATTGCAAAGGCTCTAAAATTTAGAAAATCGACTGTAAATACCGTGCTTAAACATTACCAGGAAGCACAAGCGCAAATTGAAAAAATGTGGAAAAACAATCAAAACACCATCTGATTTGGAGAAGTGGTGAAAAAGGATGGTAGATGAGGTTAACAATACTACTGTGCAAGACATGATGAGAGGTATTCCGCGAAAAATCATCCGAAAAGCTGGTGAATAAATTTTGCTGTATTTTTCCCTTAAAGCTAAATTCAAATCCTACAAAATGATACCTTTAGCGTTTTTGAACTTTATTTCCCCTTCTAGAAATGACCTATTTTATGCGGACAAATCCTAAATGGAACAGACTTTATTTTCGTAAAATGTTCATAGAGAAAGAGACTTCTAGAAGAATCTTCTCAAAAATCTATAAGAAGCTCCCAGAAAGAAACTTCTAGAAGAATCGTCCAGAAATAAGCTTCTAGAAGATGTTAAAAAAAACTTCCAGAAAGAAACTTCGTGGACAAGCTTCAAGAAAATAGCTTCTAGAAGAAACTTCCAAAGTCAAAAGATGGAAATTTAGATTTGGCTAATTGATGTATTTTTGTTTTAATTTAGAAGAAGCTTTTAGAAGAAAACTTTAAAAGAAAGCTTCTGGAAGACACTTCTAAAAATTGGCGTTGACGGCACCGTCGAAAAATTGTCTCTTCTAGAAAAGATTGACAGTTTCTTAGGTGATTTTTCGATGGGGTGAAAGCATAGTACGAAGTCCGCCATGTTTCACGCACAGTCTGACGTTTGCCTATGGATTTTACCATAGGAATAAAGAGCTAAAGAGTTGGCGTCAACGCCAATATGGTTCTAGAAGAAGGGCGAAATGTTCACTGTTTTAGTAAAACAATCTCTCCCTTCCAAGCAAATGTGCATAGCCTTCAGTATCGTTTTACAATTTCTATAAAGAGAATTCTAGAAGAATCTTTCTAAAAGATGCTCCAAAAAACCTTCCAGAAAATACTTCATGGAAAAGCTTCAAGAAAAAAAGCTTCTAGAAGAAGCTTCCAGAACGAAGCTTCCACAGTAACTTACTTTACTTTTGCTGGTCTGACGTCCCTCAGGATTTTTACCTGCATAACACTGTTTCGCCAACTCGAACCAACGAGCGTTCCACACTTCCCAGATCTTACTCCACTTGGTCTAACCACCTAGCACGCTGCGCTCCTCTGCGGCTTGTTCCAGCCGGATTTGAGGCAAACACCATTTTGAGCCAGTCCGGTTTTTGAGTTTTATGGTTGGCTTGTAGGGCCTGCACCAACCCCCTGTCTCGCCGGAGGACCATCGTGCACAGCTCTGTTTTGAGCCCCAAGCTGGCACTAGGACGATGATCAGCCGGCGTTGGAGAACAGACGCCGTTTAGAGCCGCCCCTAACAAACGCTCGGTTGGGCTACGGCCTCCGGAGAGAGAAGCCACCCTTCCCTGTACGACCAAGACCCCATCGGCGTTGGTTACCCTATCTTTCTTATGGTTACTCGTACCCCAGCCGGCGACCCGGGAAGGTACACTCATAAAATAAATCACATAACCAGTGGAAAATATCCATGTGAATTTCACATAACTTACATGCGATCCCATAATTCAAAATTGCTCCACTAAATCACATGAACCTTATGTGTCCAATGAAAACAACATGATGACTCACATGAAATGTATGATGTTATATGATATTCAGATAAAAATCATTAATTTTGATATTGGAAAAACAACTGGTGCAAGTTTGATCAAAGTAGTCGATCGCGTTCAGAAATAACGTCAAATGGAACTCGAAGGAAGACAAAATATTGTGCACAAACACTTGGAAATTCCGGAGTGGTCCGGTTCCCTGAGTGTGGAAAGTAATCAGCGGACCTACGAAAAAACTGGAACCAGAGATCGTCAGCTGAGCAGCAAGGTGTTGAGGTGCGTTAAAGCCAACCCCGGTATTTCGATCCGAGATGTGGCCAGAAGGTACAACGCCAACTTTCAAACGCTGCGGAACATCCTTGCCAGGGAAGGATACAAGTGTACAAAGCCAGTAAACATCCGAGCCGGCACATGAAGCAGAATTCCGTGGCCAAAAAGCGTGCATTTCTCTTGTATGACCGTGTTTTGACGATATACAAGGACTGCACTTTGCTCGATGACGAAACATTTTACTCGAGTTTAAGCAGCTTCCCGGTCAAAAGCTTCACATCGGAACTGGACGTGGGCATGTGTCGGGAAGCTTCAAGTTCGTGTTTGCCGACAAGTTTGCGAAAAAGGCCATGATTTGGCAAGCGATTTGCAGTTGTGACCTAAAAACAAAACCATTCATCACATCCTCGACGATGACATCCCAAGTTTACATCGAAGAATGCCTGAAAAAGCGTGTATTACCGTTCATCCGCAAGCATAGGGGTGCAGTCATCTTTTGGCCCGATTTGGCCAGCTGCCACTACTGCAAGGTGGTTCTGGAGTGGTATGCTGCCAACAAGATCGATTTTGTCCCCAATCTTCCGAATTGCCCGGAATTTCGACCAATCGAAAAATACTGGGCAATTTCAAAGCAGCGACTTCGACGAAGCGGCAGGACATCCAGCAAATGCGGGCAAAATTGAAGAAATGCGCTGATTCCGTGTCCGTTTCCACTGTGCGGGCGCTGATGGGCTCCATCAAGAGGAAGGCTCAAGATTTCGTTCGAACTGGAGAAATATAACCATCTAATGCTGGAACTTTGAAATTTTAATAAAAGTACTGTAAAGCAACCATTAATGGACTTTTTAAACTTATTGAATCACGAACTACAAGTCTTTTTGTGCGTACCAATTTACTTTTAGTCAGCCTTTAATTGTAGTTTGTTTAAAAATAATTTTCAGAAAAAAAGGGAACGACAAAGTCCATGAATGATTTCGTTAGGTTGTCTTCAACTTTTCTGTTACTTGGATATACATCAAAAGCGTATTATTTCCACGTTTCCAAATGGAACAGCGCCATCTGCGTGAAAAATAGCCTTGACTTAATGGTTCATTAGTTGAAGGACATGAGCATGAGCATGAGCATGATTGACCGCCCACGGTTGCTACTCTGTTATTGCCAGACCAGCTGTAATTACACAGAGAACCAATAGACGATGCTTGGGACTAGCAATCATCCTCAATGTGTAAAAACTGGTGATCTCGAATTAGGTAATACCAGCGCCAGCCGCGCCTGAACGCAGGTCAAGTAAGGAATGGGTAGGAATGTATTGACGTGACACTCGCTTTGATGGAAGCCGGGAACACCTCTGCACTTCCACGAGGAATCACAGGGATGTTGGGTAAGAGGGTTAGGTTTGCAGCAGGGTTCGTTTTGGTAAACGATAAGCTGAATTGATGTCCTAACGATCGTATAACGCGAAGGAGCTTGGGATTGAACCCACGGTCTTCTGCTCAGTAAGCAAAAACGTTTGCTACTAGGTAAACGAGCTCCTTTTTAATCATCGAGTTGCTGTTATTACCATGTAGTCATATTAACAAATAAAACGATTGCCGAATCCTGATATGGATAGGCTTGAGATTAGACTCAGGATGTTCTGCTCAGTAAGCAAAAGTGGTTGCTCTAAGGCCACCGAGCCCCTCATATCACATCATACCGTTACTCAAGTTGTTTATAACTATTCAAACCCGGCACCGACGACTACGAAAGGTTTAGCAAAATACACGATAAACAAGCGATCTTACCATACATTTTTAATATGAAAGGACCTGGGAGCGCGTTTTTCTGCCCAGTAAGCAAGCCACTGCAACCGACGATCTTTCAAATCCGAAAACAAAAGGCTACGAAAAAGTATTTAGGCCTTGATTAAATTCCACTATCACGCGACGTTCAATGTTTCGATTTGCCCTAGACTTAATGGTTCATTAGTTGAATGACAGCTGAGAAACAGCGATGGTTGTACCACCCACCGAAAATATGAAGGGGTTACTGTATGCAAGAGGTTGCAACTCAAGACTCGATGTCTTGCCTTTTTTCAAGTAACATTGCAAGCTAAATGCTTAAAACTGAAACTGATTTAACTCGTAGAAAGCAGACTGTACAAAAAGTTGATTAGCAGTGCACACAACCAATTTCCTCGCCACCATTCAACTTCAATAAGTGAACTGGACAATACACAACTAACGAGTGAACATCTTCATGATACACTCCTAATAGAGCTCTACTTACACAGAAACACTCCTAACAGAGCTCTACTTACCCAGCTGCAATGAAACCCCACTTCAATGAGTTAACCGAAACGTATACAAGCACTGATAAGAACTTAATGCTCCTGGCACTAAGCCAGATCATCGCTATAATAAACAAACTTGTTCGAATTAGGGAAATTTCTTTCGTACCTTAAAATCATATGAAAATCATCGATACTAGTGGTGAAACAAATTTTATTCAGCATAAAATTATGAAGACACATTTAAACGTTACCAATAAAGGCCCAAGCACAAAGTTTGACAGGCTTACTCAGATAGATCTTTTCTGCTGCCACTGCCGTTCCACCCCTCCGCTGTCATTGCGCTTTAGCCTTAACTGTCTTCCTCGACTTGAGTGGTTGAGAATAAGGACCACCGCAGGATGTGATAGAATACCAGTAACGGATAACGTCGATTCATATTTTTTAAGTATTTATTTATATATTTGCAGTTTTCTTGATTTTTTGTCATTAATTTTTTTTCATAACATAATTTTAAATTGTTTTTCTTTGGTTAAATGTCTATACGATGATTACATAGTGGTTATTACAAAATAGATTCAATCTCATCCTTCACTCAATCAGCTCCGGCTCCGTATTCTCCGTAACAACCGGCTCGTCCACCTCTTGCTCCTTCCTTCCGTATCGCTTTCCACGAGGACACTTGCCCGGTCCTCCTTCGCGGCGAGGTCCAAACTTTCCATGGTGACCATGCTTCTCGTGTCCTTTGTGACGACGGCCTTTACACTTCTTCTCACCCTCGGTTTCACTATCAGAGCTGCTGCTGCTGCTGCTACTAGAGCTACTGCAACTCGACTGGGCTCGACGCCCCTGCAGCTTCCGGCAAATCTTGGCCCAACGTTTCATATCGTGACGACGCATTCCAACCGGGCATGGTCCCATGCCTTCGAAACCACGGAATCCTCTTGGACCGAACTGTCCCATCTGATGACCTCCCCAAGCGTGTGGACCATATGAACCATGTGAACCATGGGGACCATGTGGACCATGTGAACCATGGGGACCACAAGGACCGAATCCAAACTGCATTTCGTGACCATGGGGTCCATGGCCGTGACGACCGTGATGAGGTGGGCCATCGTGCTGATGACCTCCGTGTCTTCCGTGATGACCATGTCTACCACCGCCGAGTTGATCGTGATCGTGATGATGACGGTGACCACGGTAATGATGACGACCACCACCATGCATCCTACGACCACGTCTCAGGTCATCCAAATGCATACCGGCCATGTGCTCAGCAATCACATCACCCTGGATGGCAGATTCACGATTGGCAGCCAAGTCAAGCGCTTCCTTCAACGTCAGCTTCTCACTTTCCTCGCACAGACGATCTTGAACCGGTCCGGAAACCAATCCAACTATGAACTTATCCAACAGCAATGGCTCCAGATGCTCTCCAAACTTGCAGTTCACTGACAGATTCTTCAGCCTGGCGTACCACGTCTTGACGTCCTCACCGCGTTGCTGCTCCGCTCGGTAGAACTTGGACCTCTCACGGAAGATTGTGATCTCCGGTAAAAACTGCTTCGCCAGCATTGCACACAATTCCACATAGCTCTTGTCCTTCGGTGAGTCCGGATGACACAAATCACGGAGCAATCTATAAGTATCGGCTCCGATGACACTGATCAACACCGAGACCTTGTTCCTGTCCGGTACCCCGTTGGCCTTGAAGTATTCCTCCAGAATTTCCTGATAGATGCTCCAATCGTCCGTGTCCCCATCGTACTCGGGAATGATTCCAACGAACTGAGCCTGAGTGGCGGCCGCTGCGGATGCGTTACTCTTGCTGTTTGTAGCCATATTTGTGTTCTGATGCAGTCAGCTGCACCTCCAGGGACTATTTATACTCAACAGCAAAATAACGTGTTATCATCCACGCGCCGAACTGGAAGCGGTTTTTTTTTGTCATGTCGCGCGGAACGATGACTCATCCTGTACCGGTATCATGTTTCCAAGTATTGATCCGGTGCTGTGCAGACAGACATGAATTTCACCACACTCGAGCAAATGTGCATCAGTGTTGGTCCATCAGGTTTGTTTTGATTCGTTTGCTGAATGCCGGCGGTCACGTTGCGCGACAAATCGCCGGTCGAGTGCAAAAGCAACGTGGGTCAACGGTTATCACTAAAAGTGCGATTGTAAATGTAATACTGGGCTGGTGCGAGGGGTGTGGCAAAGTGCGGTTTGTTTGTAAACAGGTCTCGATTCAAGGCTATTTGCGTAGGATTGGGATAGGTCGGTTCTGTTTGGAAAATGATAGGCTGTGTTTTCCGTTTCCTAAGCTATTATTTACTACCAGGTACTTTTATCGTGAATTCTTGAAACTTCCCAGGACCCCTTGATTGCTGAGGATCATGCGATTTAACATGAACAAACCTGTCCATTTATTGTCTGAGGGGGGGGGGGGACAATTCGCTTCTTATCAGCTGCATTGAACTTGATGGTGAATCATCCCGCCGCTATTGGGGCCGTGCGCAAAACCGAGGAGAAAGTTGTGAATCTGTTCCTAGAATAAATAATGACGATTATTATGAAGAATGTATAACATTGTGTCTATATGCCAAATGCAAAGCAAACTAATTTATATGATGTCCTACCAACTTTATTTGATTCGATTTTTGTTTCGGTTTTCAAGCGCAATACAATGCAATCATGTAGCGATGCTATTTGGATCTCAAGTTTTGAGGAAAACCGTGCGTCTTTTATGGTATTGGAAATTGGTATTTTCGTGTTAAATATAGGATCATTGAAGGGACTTTTCGATAACAGTAATTTGTTTTTCCTTGATTTGTTTTCCGTCCATCTTGTTGTCTGTACTGTACTGTACCAGGGAGGCAGTTTCAACACCTGGACCTTACCTATCGACCTATCTCATTGACCGGGGACCAACATCTTTACTTCCTTTACGAAGCAAGGCGTGATCAGAGATGTTATGCCTCAGAACATCCCTACGGCGCCGACTGGGATTAAACCCTGGCCCGATCACAGTAATCTTAGAATTTGAAATATGATATCATTGGATCTCTGAACTGCTGCGTCATGGTTACCTAGGATTTGCCAAATAATGTACACGCTATTTTGAGTCTACCCAGTGACTGAGTAGATCCAAATCAGTAGATATTTTTTGTTTTGGTGAGTAAAACCTACCCAGATTCTGAGTAAATGGTCCAAATAAAAATTTACTGAAATTCAAAATGGTGCATCAAGAAAAGTTCTTGATGAGCGATTACGAATTCTAACACAAGTTGGTCGGTAGCAAAGTTGGTAAGTCTACATAAAATATTATCAGTTTTGATACTCTCTAAGTTCATAATTTTCCAGGCAGCTTTTCATTAGCGTTTTCTAAGTCATCCCTACAAACTTTGAACTTGCTTGAAAATAGCCGATTGCATTTTCTTGTTGGACGACGTTTCTGTCTCGGTTGCTGCATAGACGCCCTCATTGACTGGAGAAACCAGTTTTCTGGAGTGCGGTCTTGCGTGATGGACTTTAGGATAGCCACTTACTAGTACTTGTTCCAAAAGCCGTACTTCAGGATGATCTACAGAAGATACAGGAGGTGATATTTTTCTGGGAACTTCCGAGGGTTCCAGTGAACATTTTATCTTTTTAAATTTGGTTAATTTTTTCAATCGTAAACTTTATTCACCTTTAAATAATTGTAAGCATTGATGAAAATTTAATTTTTATAATAATAAATAACGTTTACCCAGTTAGCAAACGTCAATATCTGCAGGCACGTTTACCCAGATTTGATTAAATGTAGATTTACTAATTGGGTTGTTTAACTTCGAAAAATATTCCAATTTTTATACATCATCTGATAGAGTATTGTTTTCTGAGCACAAAGATATTTTAATCGATCCCGTAGACATTCATATCGGTTTTTAAATCAATATTTAAATTTTTGATCGTTGACACTAAATCCACAGACAAACAGACGTAACACTGCATTGTGTATCTTCGTTCACGTATTTAACGGTTGATTTGCATATTATCAGTACCGCGAACAACTCGCCGCAGCGCTGGCATCGAATCACTTTGACGTTTCTATATATTCTTTAGAACTTTGATGCAATATTGTTTGCGAGTTAGCGAGCAAGCTTGTTTTCCACGAGAAAGTCGAGAGGTGTCTCTACTGAGGTCCCATGTTTTGAGATACTTACTGTCTAGCCAGAAGCGCTAGTCTAAAGGTTCCCCTAACCTCTGGTCTAGCCACGGAGGTCGTCTGGGGTGGGCTACATCCGCCTCATTTTACTGGCTAGCTCGAGCTTGAGGCCTCTCACTCTCAGGGTCGGCTTTTGTCATGGAATCGCTATTCAAGAGTCCAATCTTTCATTGATTAAACGAGGCACAAGTTCACTTTAATCCTTTTTATTTCTTAACTAACACTTACAGTGGGTTGGGTGTGTAATGGTTGGCCGGCCGGCTGCTGAGGGGACACGTGGTCGCGGGTGAGTGTTCGGGGGGGACCGTGATGATACTGGGCGCCGTCGTCTGGTTGGGTGCGCTCAGGGAACCAGTCAGTGTGATTGACCGTGGTTCGGGATACGGCCAGGGTTGCCGTCGGGCGTGGCTCACACAGGAAAACAGCACGCGATGTCGGGATGAGCGTCGTTGGTTTAACCTCAAAACTCGAGGGCCGGCTTGGATTGCTGAGATTTGGTCCACAAGGGGGTAACACTGGGAGCTAGCGTGGGTCTTCGCGTCCTGATTGGCGACAAAACACAAGCCGATAAACTTCAGGATACGCGCGGTACAGACTAACCCCTTTAGTTCCGTGGGTGTCTGGGGAAAAAACGGCCACAATCGCTCACGAGGTTCTAGCTTCGTCTACTTAATTTTGCACGATGATCCATTCACTTCCGTGGTACTTTGGAAAAAGCCTCGATTCTTGCTCCAGTCCCAGTAGCTAGCCGTTCATTTCTTCTTCTCCTTTTTCTGTTCCTTTCTTTCTATTAGTCCTATATCCACCCGCGACAATCCAATAACCGTCCCCTGCAGCAATTTTAACGTGTTGTTGTGTGTACTACATGTGTATTTCAACAAACTTTGTTCTTGCTTTTATTATACATATATATATCATTTTAACTTGTAGAGTGTGCAGGTAACTTGTATATTCCTAACAAGAAGTTTATATTAATTTTCATATTTATTTTTAGACGTATACACATAATAATTAGACATTTAACAATTAATCGTTGAAATTTTAATACGAATAGGTTTTTATTCGGCAAGCAAGTTGGCATATTACGTCGCAACGGTAACATACTATGCGTTCAAGAAAAACTTTTTCAAAGAGTTACGTCTGTTTGTCTGTGCTAAATCTATTCGTTGACAGCTCGCTCCCATTCAAATTCCCACCAAGGGGCGATTAGATGGTGATTTTTGCTAATGTAATCGTACTTATTTAAAATAGTTCCAGTGTACATAAATTGATGAAATTTTGGATTCAGGTTCCATTTTTAATGCAGATAACGAATATGTATTTACCTCAATACCCCTAAACAACCCAATTTTTGAGTAGCTTCCGTTTTGGCTGAGCTGAGTGATTTTCAACTCAAAAATGAGTAGCCTCAGAAAAGCGTGTATATAATATTGCTGGGTGAACCGAAGAGTTCTGGATCAACAATAGAAAAGGGCCATCAGAATTTGTAAACAAACTGTTCCAAAGCCCATTCCTCACAAATCGAAGGCCGCCCACATAAACCAACACCATCATCGTGTAGGTAGAAGTTTCCCCTATCAGATGATGGTGCACGCTATGTCTGAAGGCACTTTTTTGCAACATTCATGTACCTCAGTTTTATCTTCACAGGAAGTTAGTATTGATCCTAACAATCAAATCTGCGAAGGTTTTAAAATATTTCATCTTGGGTTTTTTGAGAAAAAGTGTTTTGAAGTTTACTTAGCTGTTAACAAAGGCGTATACGAACTATTGATTATACAAAACTGTTACGGATCGAAACAAATTCAGCTGAAAATGATTCAAAAGGGGATTAAAGTTGTCAAAACACTGAGTTTCAATGATACAGTAAGATTCGCTCTTCGGTACCGTCAGATTTCATAACAATGTCAGAATGTTTAAATTAATAAAATAATTAAACATGGGTTTAGTCTCTAAATTTACTATTATTGAGCCATTCCATAGCAAAACGATATAGTGGTTCTCAGAATTTGGTAGGAAATGGTAGTATCCTAACCGCAAAATATTTTTTTTTTATTTTGTCGTTAGGGTGACTATTTCAACGTTAGAGTAGTCCAAAAAATCGTTTATTTTTTATTTTTTTCAAAAATGACTTTTTTCAAAAATTTATAACTTTTGAACAACTGGGCCAATTTCAAAGACCAAAATATCAAATGAAAGGTTATTAAAAGTACTTGTAATGATGAAATATAATGATATTAAAAAATAGAGATTTTATATTTGAAAACATTGATTGTATTCGTTTATTATGGTTTTCATGGTTTGATGATAGAGGGTGTTTTTATATTTTTCTTAAAAAATTTAGGCTTTTTTACACAACATATCGAAAAATCAGCGATGTGTTGTTTTTCATTAGCTGATGATTAAAATTTCATCCTTCAAAAACTGCACGATTATCAATCAGGCAATTGCGTTTATCAAGCACCTACAATGGCGACCAGCGAATCCAAATTGCGTATGCTGAGTCGCATTTGCGGCAGCCACCATATTGCGTTATTGGGATCATTCTTGGCGTCTGAAATATAACAAAAGTATAGTTCAAAGTCATGTAAAATATAAAGATATAAAGATAACTGTTACATACTAACCTTACTAACACTCAGATTAAGATCTTTCTTAAAAT